TTCTCCAGGCAAAATGTAAATCGGCCACAGGGCTGAACCTACAGCCACTCGGCGGCAGCTGATTCCTGAATCTCCCGATTCGACTCCGTTGTTGTTGGCCCTCTTGTCAAGAACAGGCCGGGAAGACTAAGGATTCACATCACCCAGATCGGACACTAGCAAGGGCCGCCACCCAAAAGTCTGGAGAAGATGGGTTCTCCAGAATCATCTTGACGCAGTGACTTTCTCACAACCTATCTATTCCAAGTTCGCGATGACCCTAACGTTCCCATCATTCGCCAATTTCGAGGCGGTGCAAAACGCACAGTCATCCAATTACTGGCCATCCCAAGTCCTAAATTATACTTAGTAACACCAGTCCGGTTTCGGCGGCCCTCTGGCTGTCCAAGGACCGTTGCCACGCCCCACATTCGGCACTCGTCTCTGGGTCGTGTATGTAATAGTTTTACCGGATAAAGTGTGAGGTACCCAAATCAAAATTTCCCGCCTGAAGCGAATGGTTGGGCTGCAGATATGGTCTGGGATCGGGTATTGATTCCTACAACGTTGGCTCTGTAGAGAGAAGTCGAGCAGAGATGATATGACCGAGTAATAGTTTCTGATTCAGCCGCTAACTTGAACTCTTCCTCACTGTCTGACCTGGGATAATGTGGCAGGCGCGCTATGATCCACCCACGCGACATGGCGGGGTTTTTGAGGGGCAGGCATAGATAAGGAATTGACTAAGAGTATCCAAGCAAAACCATGCGCTGATAAGTCCCAGGTACGCGATTTTACGCTGTGCCAACTGCAATTATCTACTGGAAGTATTTGAAAATCACACATATCACAACAATCTGAGTATCTTAGACCAACTGTGTTGCCCGATTCTTCGGAATCATCTCCGTAGTTCCATCTTCTGGAGAGATAAGCCCTCTGGAAGCAATTAGAGTACTTCGTACCTTGCTAGTCAGATAGCCTGTGAATGTCTTCTTAAGGTCTGATGCATCCCGTAGGCTATTATAGCACATCTACCAATAGGATTTGGGTCTATTGCATTAGGCGCATGCATGATTTGTACTAATTGAGCCTTGCAATTGATATGCATCCGTCCCTGTCGCTGTTTGATAATACCTTTTAGCAACATAAAAGCTGCTATCTTTACGACTGCAGCGTCGTACACAGGCATCAGGCAATGTCATTGATATTGCTTTTGAGACAGAGTCAGCCGACACGTCGTTGCACACCAGTACGAATGTATATTGACGAGAATCGCGGCAGATCTTTATCAGTATGTAGCAATCTTTGTCCTGGCGTGGGGTGGAGAGTCCGGGGAAGTCCCATCGCTTCGGCGGCTGCAATCGATATTTATCGCTTTGACGGTGAAATTATTAAATGATTTCATCAAAAGAACTCTACTCCATGCTCTGTATACTTCTGCGTATCAGAAACGAAGTGTTTCGCATTACATGCACATGCCGTTCTGCCCGCGCAACAGGAGAAAAGGGGGTGCCATTTTTGATCCATCTGATTTCCTAAACGGGTATTATTGTTTAGCATGATGGATTGCAGTATGCATCCATACATGGAGGTCATTATTGAATTTTCGAGATCATCCATTGAGAAGAGAAAATATATTCCTCAGTTACAATAAATAGAGATAATTTTGATCTGTTATATGGTCGGTTGTGATGTGATGAGTATGAGGGATATATGGTTGGTATGGTACTGATTTGGTGATAAACTCTTGTACTAAATTCCGCCCACACATTACTTTTTGCCTCATTCCAGTTCAGCACCAGGATAATGAATGAAATTATCCAGCATTTGAAATTCTGGTGAGAACATTAAAGAGTAAAAGCCCTCAAAATCTATCTCCAATCAACAATTTTAGGAATACTTGCAGAGGCCAGATGGTTCGATCATGCAGGCAGGAATAGTCAGAAGTGGATATGATGCTGACTGGTGGGAATTTGTATTACGGGAAGGCGCCCAGCAACCAGCGGGTGAGGTAATTTTCAAACTGTTTCCCTATCTGAATTTCAGTTTTGATGGATCTTCCAGTGGGATTATTCTGGGTTCCTTTCTCTTTCCCGTAAAATAACTGAATTTTTGCCCCCCGGTGCCCCAAAGAAATCGATCGCCCTCATGTCGTCCTTCTTGCCTTAAATTTGAAGGATATCCTCGCCCCCCACCCACATTTCTACTGTGACTCCCATACATCCATTTTGCCTCATCTCCATCCTTTATCCTCCTCTTTATTTAACAACTAACCCACTTTCTCTCTCTTATCTGCTCTGCAGTATATCGTCGCTTTCGTCCACATCTGGATTATTGTCGTCGTCAATCTCTCTGTCTACTGGAATCGACTTCATTTTAAGTAATTGAAGTCTTCGCGTGCTCTGCTTCTGCGAGCCTGAAATATTCGTCAAGAAAAAGAAATCTCTCTATCTTCATATCACACATTCTGCCAATCATGGTGAGTCCTTCAATACATTCGAATACGATGTTTTGGGTGATTTCGTGGAAGACTGGTGTTCTGACTCCTGCCTTCTTGCTATTAGGCCGAAACATCAACCGTCGTCTCCAACACGGAGAATGTGCGTTTCCTCTTTATTGATTTTACAATTTTTCCTTCGGCCGCCTCTGCGGTTTAGAGGAAACAGTCATACTGACTTTTGTGTGCTGGCAACAGCTCATGAAATACATGAGCCTCGACCAACGGGGTCATGTCCAGGCTGAGTATGTCTGGATCGACGCTGTCGGTAACTGCCGCTGCAAGACCAAGGTATGCAAAATTTTTTTCCCTCCTCTCGATTCAAATCCGATCCTACGTGTTACGTGGAAGTGCGATTGTGGACATGGATGCCATGTGAATGATTGTACAATCTGGCGACAAGATGAATACATGGATATTGCTGGTTATGGCCGCTGTGATGCTGGGCTGGCGAAGTGACAAGAGGCGTGCTGTTATCTTAACGCGCGCCCTCTTCCGATAAGCCCTGCGCACGGTGACTAGAAACTGCAAGCCACGATTTCATCTGCACCTTCCCGTGACACGTGACAGGCGATACAATGCAGCACGATGTTGAGAATAATGTTTGCTAATTCGAATGTTCATGCATTTAGACTCTCACCAAGCCTGTTAAATCCGTCGATGAGCTCCCTGAATGGAACTTTGACGGTTCTTCCACCGGCCAGGCCCCCGGTGACAACTCCGATGTCTACCTCCGCCCTGTTGCTATCTTCCCTGACCCGTTCCGCCTTGGCGATAACATTCTCGTTCTCTGCGAGACCTGGGATTCGGATGGAACCCCCAACAAGTTCAACTACCGTCATGAGGCCAACCGCCTGATGGAGATCCACGCCAAGGAAGAGTTCTGGTTCGGACTGGAACAGGAATACACCCTCCTCGGCACTGACGGCTGGCCTTACGGATGGCCCAAGGGCGGGTTCCCCGGTGCTCAGGGTCCTTACTACTGCGGTGTCGGAACTGGCAAGGTCTACTGCCGTGACATTGTTGAGGCTCACTACCGTGCCTGCTTGTACGCCGGTATCAAGATCTCTGGTATCAACGCTGAGGTCATGCCCTCCCAGTGGGAGTACCAGGTCGGTCCCTGCAATGGTATTGAAAGTACGTTACAATCCATCTCACATGTATTGCAAAGCAAGTACTGACCAAACACAACAGTGGGTGACCAGCTTTGGATGTCCCGCTTCCTGCTCCACCGCGTCGCTGAAGAGTTCGGCGTCAAGATTTCTTTCGAGCCTAAGCCCATCAAGGGTGACTGGAACGGAGCCGGTCTCCACACCAACGTCTCTACTGCCTCCACTCGTGCTGAAGGCGGTATGAAGGCCATCGAAGCTTACATGCAGAAGCTGGAGGCCCGTCACAACGAGCACATTGCCGTCTACGGTGAGGGCAACGAAGAGCGTCTCACTGGCCGTCACGAGACCGGCAGCATCGACAAGTTCAGCTATGGTGTCGCCGACCGTGGTGGCAGCATCCGTATTCCCCGCCAGGTTGCCAAGGACGGCAAGGGTTACTTCGAGGACCGCCGCCCCGCCAGTAACGCTGATCCCTACCAGATCACCGGTATCATCGTCGAGACTGTAAGTTTGCACCTTTTCATACCAAGGTGAACTATGCTGACCACTTCATAGCTCTGCGGTGGCAACTAGATATCTTCGGTATCAAAACAAAATGTGCAGACATTTCATTAGCGCTAGTATACCCGCCGGCGTCAACTGGGTGTAGAACTACAAGAGCGGCCTGGCAACGTGTGGAGCAAACATAGATTTCTTTTCTCGTTTTTCCCATCCTTAATGTCGGTATTTCAGGTTGTCACTCTTACTCTCGAGATGCCAGAGCCTGCGCCTTTGCGTTCGCTACCCACTGCTGCTGTTGCACTTTCAATCAGATTTCTTTGTCTTCCCATGTGGGTTATGTGTCACGTACAGCATAGAGGACTTCTTTCCGAGGTGAAATGGAGAACAATCATTTGATCATGACAACTAAGCTTATTTAAAATGGCGAGACCTTTATGGTAGTAGCATACAAGATTGTCACTCATTGACACAGTTTTGCTGCATGCGCATCCTGCAGGAGATATATCAGCCCTTACTATATATACATGTGCTGTCGATCTGCCAAACTTCCCGCCAGGTACCTCGGCATTTCCATAGGGCTATGGCCTGTATACCCTTCTAAAGGCCCTAGTGTCAGCTAAGTACTTGCAATGGCCTCTATTCATTATGAAGCTGGGGGAGATCCAGGGATGAGTCCTCCCAAGGAGCTGAATATGGGTATCATGTGGCTACCACTACCTAGGTTGTGAGTGCTCAGCTAGGTTGTGACAAGCTAAGTAATCTGCTCCCATGAACATGCCACCATATAAAGGGCAATGCCAAGCTCGCAGTCCCGCTGGACCCCCTGGGGGCCCTTGATACAGGACGCCTCGCTCCACTTATTCTGGCAGGTCAGCTTGCCCGCCGGATACATGTTCTCCACGGACCGCCAGTCAGCCGTCGCCGTGGACGTGCATGTGTTCCCTCACACCTCGATCCCCGTCGATGCTAGCCGGCAGATCAGGGTCCAGGCTGCTGGAGGGACAGTACTGCTCGCTCCAGGCTCCGTCCGGGTAGCACGGCGTGCGCCCGGTCTCGGGCGTGGTGGGCTCGTAGGCCTCGAAGCTGACCCCATTCGTAGTCGCATTCGTCGGTTTGTGAGAAGACGCGCCCCGGGCGCATGTAGATCTGGTAGGTTGCTGGGTAGCCGGTGGAGTCGGTGGGTGGCTCTTGCCGGGGGTTGCTGCCGCGGCCGTCGGGCTGGGGTTCGCAGTCAGCAGGCGTCGATGTCGGCGGCTAATTCACAGCTCAGGACGTCGGTGTAGACCCGCGAGTCGAGGAAGCTGGTCCCGGAGAGTGCGGCGCGGCGCCTGAGGTTGTTGTTTGGCGTGGTGGCCGGCAGCAGGAAGTCGTCGAGGCGGATTGTAGGGTTGAGTGCAGGCTCGTGGAGGAGGTCCGCATCCGCAAGGGGAGCGCTGTCCTCATCCTCTTGATGTTGATCTGACGAGCCAGCTAGGTCGCGCTTGCGGCGATATGGGAAGAGGCCGTTGGGAGGATCGTTATAGATGAGATGGCTACCGTCGGCCTGGGCAACCACAGCCTTGGACTCCCCTACCGTGTAGGTATTGCCCCGGCCTCTTGCACCACGCCGCCGATACTGACGGAAACATCGGCGAGCGAGCCCAAGAGCGGGGAAAAGAAGACCTCATCCTTGAGCACCTCGGTCGGCGGGAATTTGACCTGGAACTGGCTGGCCGTGTTGCCACTGGTCCCAGCATTGGTACAGGCGGCGCCTGGGGCCCTGCGGTACCAGACCTGGACGCCCTCCTGTGTGATGGTGGCGGTTCCCGTCTTGTAGAGGTCAATCACGTAGGGCAGGAAGTCTTGCCATCCTTCATGCATATACGCCATCACGTAGTTGTACGGGGCATTGCCGATCTCAAAGGCCGCCATGGCATTCTCGTGCAGGGGGCCGATATAGGGGGACTCGCCATAGTCATTCCAGGAGATGATTTCCACCCACTCGGGCTGCAGATCCAGCACTTGCTCCCAGCGCTCGTACCACAGGTGGTCGCCGTTCCAGAGCCAGTTCTTCTTGTAGCCGGGCAGGTTGGTGTAGAACCACGGTGACACCGGCATCATGTACGGCTTTCCGTCCAGATACTGCATGTACGATGCATCTACGTGGGTGTCCATGTCATTAGGTCCCCACAGCCATGCGGCCCAGGAGAAAAGACCATCGGGCACGCCTGGCGAAGCCTCCAGCGCCGTCTTTGCTCCTAGCGAAGACCAATCCGGGACAAAGTAGCAGCCCGTCTCCGTCTTGATATCATTCCAGTCTGCCGCGCTGACGGCGCCCTCGAAGGTAGACACAAGCGGTTTTCCGTTGTAATGGTAGTAGGCAGAATTGGACCCGTATTGGGTGAGATGGTCAATGATGACAGTACTCCTCGGCCAGGCACCGTTCCCCGCATAGTCGAACGAGAAGAACAGTTGGAAGCCCGTGATGTTGGCAGCGTCGAAGGCTTGAGTCAGGGAGGATTCATTCGTCGGGTCGCCGTAGGCCATATTCAGAGCAAAGGCATCGATATGTGCTTGCTGCGCAGACTTCATGTTGACTTCCCTGTCATAGGTAGTGAAGTTCTCCGAGTTGGTGACCTAGGGTCAGTCAATAAGAGAGGGAACTGCTTACCTGCTCTGGATATCGACTGACCATGAATCAATAGGACCGCCCACAGCTGGGGGACCTTCATGTCGGCGACGTGGGAATCAGTCAATCATACTGAATCTCATTCTTTTTACAAGGGCACCTCGCCGAAGCCATGGTGACTCTTTATATTCGACCGACCAGCCGGCGTTTACCGATGTCCCATCCTCCATCTCTACCATTTCTTCCATCTCTTCCCTCGAAAGACCTTCGTTGGATAACTCCGGCGAGGAAAAGACGCCACGAGATCCGTCATGGACGCTAATTTCAATAGCGAGCACGTTGAGGTAGCATTGGGGAGAAAGCATACCCAATCGAGATGGATTTGACTGTAGTGGTGGATAATCAGAAGCTCCCTAGTCAGTTAGTTGTCAGTTAGTTGTCCGGCAGTTGTCCGGTAGTTGTCCGGTGATAGTAGATCGGGTGCAGACTAGGACTGGAATTTCTTAGCTACAGTACTAAGCAAATTGAAGCTTTAGACCGGTCCTTGGCTGGGACTGAGTGGACCTCAGTAGAACTAGGGTTACTACCAGTGCCTATGGTGGATACATGATACATCCTGCCCGGGTCTGGCCAGGTCAACTGACACCGTGTGCCTTCGTCAGGCGCAGACAGGCGACTTCGTCACGGCCAGGATGGATGGACTCACCATCAGTAATATGTATACTACTCCGTACCTTAGTACTAGTACTAGTATCTACGGTACCTTAGTATCTGGAGTGGAACCTCCAGGGGCTGTAGCTTAGCCGTAGCTTAGCCTATAGCTTAGCCTAGTCTAGGCTCTCCAGGGTAGTACTGGTTGCTTACTCAAATAGCCCATAGCCCATAGCCCATAGCCCCAGTTCTAGTCTCGTCTCCCCAATTTCTTCTTACTCTCCCCTCTCCTCACTCACAAACAAGACAGCAAAAAATTACAAATAATCTGATAATGCCAGACGCATCAGCAATGGCAGGCACAAACGCAGACGAAACTATGTGCGCTGCGATCACCCGCTTCCGCCGCAAAATGGCCGCCGCAAACCACCAGTTCCTGCAAGACCGCATCAACGACATCAACGCAAAAGGTCTCCTAACCGAAGAGGAGAAGCGCCGCCTGCTCGGCCAGTACCGACACATAGACCATCTCCTCCCACAGGACAACACGGCACTAGCTGACCTTGACATCCCTGCTGTTCTCGACGCCCTGCCGGCCCATGAACCCGCTGACGGCGTGCTGCTCCCGCCCCTGCTGCACACGGAGCAGTGGCGGGAGATGTATGTTGATACCGTTCAGCGGGTGTGCCAGCGGCAGGCGGATGCGATTGTTCTTGAAGACGACGACGAAGATGATGATGATGACGAGGAGGATGAGTTTGAGCCTGTGACTATCCCGCGGTGTGACGAACTAGGCCTGTTCCTAAAGTATGCGCAGGGGGTGATGGACGTTGACTTCCGGCACTCGGGGATTGCGCCGTTTACGCCGGCTTGGTCGACTGGAGTCAAAGACGAGGAACTGGAGGGACTGGATGACGACCAGAGACGCGAGAAGTTGGCAGACCTCGAACTACTGAAGCGCGAACAGGAGCGCTTGCAGCGGGAGTTGGAAGACGAATTATCGAATAAGCTGCTGGAGGCGTATATTGACGAGGACCTAGACGTCCGGGCGGGGTTCATCACCGGCGTTGGATTTAACCAGCTATACGCGTGCCCGTCGTGGTATAGTGCGTATGTGTACTGCCGGCTGTGCACGGATGTTGCTGCTGCTGATGCTGATGCTGCCAACATCCGGGACTGGGGCTGGCGGGTGGTTGTTTTCCAGGCCGAGGTGGTCAACCCGAGCGTTCTGTACGGCCGCAAGGCGCGCTTTGATTCGATTCCGGAATTCTTGGATTGGTACGCCAGCTGGCTGGACCATCTCGATGAACGGGGGTTGCGTTCTCTGCGGCGCCACGCTGTAGGCTGTGAGACGGATTGCGAGTCGGACTGTGAGGATCATGCTACGGGGGTCTATGCAGAGAGGTTCTAGCTACAGCTTATCCCTTCTATTCTTTACTTGCTGTGAGCTTAACGAGATACCATTCCTGCTTCGGGATAACTAAACGTACGACCAATCATCCTACAGGGATACCTAGCTCTGAGCAAGAGGTATCTGAAACAACTTCATCATCTATCTAGCCCTAGCTGCCGGGCTTCAGACTGTATGATGTCTGCGGTAGCCAAAAAAGGGGATACCCAGGTATACAGCCATGATAGCCAAGTGTACTTACTCCAAAGTCTCCGCCAACAGCTTAAACTAATTCTCTTGATACCTATTAGTCTTTTAATTATATTGCAGGTACACCGCGCTATCACAGAGCAAAGAAGCCAGTGTCAATCTCTACCTTTCCAAACCAATCGTGACGATCTATTTACCATAAGTCTACTCTACGTGCCCTTCCTGAAGATGCGGAAAAGACCCGAAGACCCCAACCCCTGCAATCCACGCTGCTGAGCCTCGCGCCTAGCCGCGCCATCGACAATCTTCCCCGGCTCATCATCTCCGCGAGCGCGCCTCCTCCGCTCCGCTAGCCAGAGACCCGTCTGCATGACCACCGACGAGAGAATACTAGCGCACAGGATACCGACCATCACAAGATTAGATTTGCGGAACTTGGCGCGGCCGGGGGCAGCGCTGTCGCTGGGCCAGCCGGTGTAGAGGGCGTAGGTGGTGAGGATGCTGCCGAGGTTTCCCCAGCCGGAGACGACGGCCGAGGCGGCGGCGACGCCGACTTCGCCGTGGCGGGGCTGGAAGACCTCGGTTGTCCAGGACATGGTGATGGGGACTGTGGGGCCGAGGCCGAAGCCGACGATGAGGAGGCCGCCGTAGCGGGGCCAGGGGTTTGAGGCGGAGCCGGCGTAGGTTGTTAGGAGGAGGCCGAGGATCTGGAGGCAGACGGGGAGGGAGAAGAAGAGGGCGCGGTGTTTGTGGAAGCGGTCCGAGAAGGGGGTGACCAGGAGGATGCCGAGGAGGTCCATCTACTGATGTCAGTTATGCAGCCAAGGGGGACAAATGACAAGGGGGAGGGGACTGACAAGCCAGATTGGGGCTGTGAGGAGACTGAGGTCAATCCCGTTTAGGGACTGGTCGATCCCTCTGATGATGACGGTGGCGTAGTTCTGGACGCCGATGCCCACGCCTACCACGCCAAAGTACATGACTAGCAGCGGCCACAGGCGCCAGTCCAGGAACACGCGGAGGAGGTCACGGAGGGACCACTGTGGACGGTGGTAGACGCGCCGCAGGTCGTGGTAGTGGATCTCTGCGTCCCGGCCTGTGAGGGCGGGCGGGCTGCGCGGGAGCCACTTGAGATACTTGGGACGCGGGGGTTGGGCGCCGGGAGCCAGGGGCCGGTCGGGAAGCCACCAGAGGAGGACGATGCCGACAGCAATGGTGATGATGCCGTAGACGAGGAACATCCACTGGAAGCCGACGAGGCCGCGCTCGCCGTCCATTTTCTGGAAGCCTGCCGACACCAAGCCCACGACAGCGGCGGAGATCTGAGCCGCAGTGAAGTACTGGCCGATGCGTTTGCCCGTCCGCGAGGGAGGGTAGAAGAGGGTGAGATAATAGGTCATTCCGGGCCACATGCCGGCAATGAAGATGCCCAGCAGAAGACGGAGGAGACTGTGCGTGGTCAGAAACTGCAGACTCCAAGAAACAGAAGGAAAACATACTATAAGCTCCACGCTGCTTTCATGGCCGCCATGCAACTGCCAATGATACCCACGCTGATCACGATCCGGCTCATCCAGACATGCGGGCTGAGTCTGGTCATCACCAGATTCGACGGCAAGTCAAAGACCACATAGCAGACGTAGAACAAGGCGAGACCAGTCGAGATCTGATGAGGCGTCAGGTGCAGCACGGACCCGAGATCGTGGTGTACATCCATGTTCATCGTCTGTGCCAGACCAACATTGGATCGGATGGCAGAGCAGAGAAAGTACAGGACCCAGAAGGCAGGGATGATCCGGTAGTCTAGCTTCCTGGATGATTGTGAGCTTCTTTCTGTAGTGTCAAGCCTATAGGCGGAGACTCACCTATAGATGCGCTCAATCTCAGCGACGCTGGGCTCATCGCCACATTCGACGTCATTCGGAGTGTCAGATGATGGTTCCCGGACATTCTCGGTGTCTTGATGCTTTCCCACGTCTTGGGGACGGATTTCTCCTTCTGATGAGGACATGTTGAAGCTGCTGGGATGAGTGGTGGGTGTTGATTATGACTAAAGCTGCATTGATGGTGCAGGAATATCCAGAGCAAGCAAGAATTCTAATATGATTGAATCCAATAGAGAGCAAGAACAAGAGTCGAGTCGGGGTCGCAGGAGATAATGCAGAACCTTCAGCGCATGGAAGAGATCTGCAAGCCCCGCACGGCTAGACAGGTCGAAGCGTCAAATACCAGGATTGCAATGAGCAATGTGGACTGCTTCAGAACGGATGAAGATAGTCTTCCACGCTGGCTTGCTGGAGATGGTTCTGATATTGTCAATTAGCATGTGTCTATGTCCAGAGAGATATGTAAAGTCTCATTTTTCAGGAATAGGAAACGCGAGAGGATTTAGTACAGCCAAAAATCTCCTCCAGCGTTCACTGTAGATAGAACTGCAGGAGACATCACTTATTCAACATACCTGGTTGATAGGCCAGAGACCGAGGCTGATATTATTACTTTATACGCCGTAGTAAGTCCGTTAGGACTCGGAACAAGCAGATAGTCCAAACACAGATTGCACAGAACCCGTCAATCAACAAGATCACAGAAAAAAAAATATACCAAGAAACGAAACCAGGATATCCAAATACCCACGTCTCGAGTCTCAAATCTTGATATTAATCTGATCGTGGAGCGGAGTTTGCAATCCGACGATCGGACTAACTTTTTTTTTTCTTTTTCCTGAAGCTTCGACGCTTAAAGCCGGAGCGGAAATTCCTCCCGCCCAACTTTGTTTGAACGACGGGTTATCTGGATAGCTTCAGCTTCCGTACTTTTCCTTCAATGGTAGAGGGGTATCGTGAAGAAAAACTATATTCAACAGATCTACTCCACACTCAACAGCCGGCTGGTCACAACGCCAATTTCCCAACGCTCACTCACTGCAGCAGACGCCCCAAACCTTGAATGAGTCACAGTATAGTTTAGCTTTGAGCTGCCGATGTCGGTCAAAGACACTTCTACCGAATACCGATTCTGTCTCTGATGTGGGATGTTGGTGGTTCTAGAAGCTGTAAATAGTGAATACTATTAGTCGTTATATCTTATCGAAAGATCTGATTGTGGTACTTCCAACCTTTCTTTCAATCAACTTATACGGACTCGCTCGAATCAGAGTAATGCAGGTCATGTATCTTTTGTTGTATGGTAAACTAATAGATGGAAGGCAATGCACGAATGATAGGGTTATAGCCTGCAACATAATGCTCTAAGGAGGGCACTAAATGTGATGCGATGGCAGTTAACCCGGGGGAAGGTTATGACGGCAAAAGAACTATAGATATGCACTTCTACGATGGGCAGGAAAGCCTTGAATTTGATGGAGAAAATGAAATGAATCTATAATTTCAGTACGATTAATTCAAGCGGGGTATATAGCCATGCAGTGGACAGTATCAACCGTCCCACTCATACAACATGCCTCATCAAGAGGTCTACGATTCGTGCGTCAAGCATCTAGGCCTTTTCCACGCGCTCCACTCTTTCGGAGCTCGTGTTGTCGTCGCTGTTGCTTCCGGCTTCCTTGTGAGCGTGGCTTAACACGCTTGCACGGCGCACGGCGTCGTCCTCAATATCATCCAGAGTGAGCAAGAGTTCGCCCTTCTTGCCATACATGTGTGGCTCATCCCTAGCAACGCGAACCACAGAGAAAACGCTCTTGGTCTTTCGGAAAATACGGTCCATCTCCTCCAGAGACCGTCTGGTAGTCTCAGGGTAGAAGAAGTAGACGACGGGAAAGATGGCCGCGTTGCTGTCATTGGTTAGCGTCTGTACCATAAGCAGAGAGTGAGGGCAGCTTACATGACGGCAAAAATAATGTAGGTCCGCCATTTGATGTTCTCGAATGCCACCGGAGTAATCATGACGACCATAAAGTTGAAAATCCAGTTCGAGGACGTAGCCAAGGCATTGGCCGGGGCGCGGATCTTCAGAGGCACAATCTCGGCAGGGTACAGCCAGGTCATACCCAACCAACCAATGGCGAAGAAGGTGTTGAACACGAAGAGGAAGACGGCACAGGCGACTTTGGATGCGTCCGTGCCGAGACTGGCAGTGACGGCCAGGATTACCATGGAGATCGACATGCCGGCGGCACCAAACAACATCAGGGAACGACGACCAAAGTGCTCAATGGTGAACACGGCGATCCACGAAGCAATGAAGTATTCGGTTCCGTTGCAAGCGGCAACGAGCCGGGACTTGATCATGTCCATGCCCAGCTGCTGCTCCAGCACAACAGGAATGTAATAGGTGATCAGGTTGATTCCGGAAATCTGCTGGAACATCTGGTTGACGTAGGCGAGCACGGTACGGTGGAAGTGGCGATCTTCAGTCATGGTGAACATGTCGCGGAACGAACCCTTGCTCATCTCCAGGACGGTAGCCTTGATGGCGGTGAATTCGGTCTCGATAAAGGTTTCATCAGCGTCGCTACCCAACAAAGCGGTCAGAGTCTGCCTTGCTTCATCCTCGCGGCCCTTGAGAACAAGCCAGCGGGGTGATTCGGGAAGCCACATGACGAAAGCCAGGATAATCGCAGCAAAGAAGATCTGGAAGGCCAAGGGGAAACGCCAGGCCACTTCGTTGGGGTCCGCAAAAAGCAGACCAAAATCGATCCAGTAACTGATGGTAATGCCGCAAGTGATCATGGCACCCTCGATCATGACCATCTGACCGCGGCGGTTGGACCTGCAGCATTCCGATTGCCATGTGGGCACTGTCGAGGTGTTCATACCATTACCTGTTTCATCTGAATTAGCACATAGATC